TTCCCATAGGGTCTTATGTTAAAGCAATTCCCCCCATTGGCGGCCATCATGGATGAAGGATCAGCTTCAAAGTAACAAAACTTAGTCAGCATCTCATAAGGAACATTCATGCCATGTTTGGTTTCAATCCATTCAGTATGTGGTTCTCTAAAAGAAGACATTTGTATGTATTGTCCATAGGGTCCTTTGTTAAACATTGTCCCCATCTGGCAGCCATCATGGATGAAGGATCAGCTTCAAAGTAACAACACTTGGTCAGCACCTCAAAAGGAACATGCATGCCATGTTTGGTTTCATTCCATTCAATGGTTCTCTAAAAGAAAACATTTGTACGTATTTCTCATAGGGTCCTATGTTAAACTGAGTCCTCCGCTGGCGGCCATCTTAGATTATGGATCGGCTTCATAGTAACAACACTTGGTCAGCACCTCATAAGGAACATTCATGCCATGTTTGGTTTAATTGCATTCAGTGGTTCTCTAAAAGAAGACATTTGTATGTATTTCCCATAGGCTCCTATGTTAAACTAAGTCCCCCGCTGGCGGCCATCTTGGATGATGGATCCGCTTCAAAGTAACAACACTTGGTCAGCACCTCATAAGGAACATTCTTGCCATGTTTGGTTTCATTCCATTTAGTGGTTCTCTAAAAGAAGACGTTTATATGTATTTCCCATAGGGTCCCATGTTAAACTAAGTCCCCTGCTGGCGGCCATCTTGGATTATGGATCGGCTTCAAAGTAACAACACTCGGTCAGCACCTCATAACAAACATTCATACCATGTTTGGTTTCATTCCATTCAGTGGTTCTCTAAAAGAAGACATTTGTTTGTATTTCCCATAGGGTCCAATGTTAAACTAAGTCCCCTGCTGGCGGCCATCTTGAATTATGGATCGGCTTCATAGTAACAACACTTGGTCAGCACCTCATAAGGAACATTCATGCCATGTTTGGTTTCATTCCATTCAGTGGTTCTCTAAAAGAAGACATTTGTATGTATTTCCCATAGGGTCCCATGTTAAACTAAGTCCCCCGCTGGTGGCCATCTTGGATTATGGATCGGCTTCATTGTAACAACACTTGGTCAGCACCTCATAAGGAACATTCATACCATGTTTGGTTTCATTCCATTCAGTGGTTCTCTAAAAGGAGACATTTGTATGTATTTCCCATAGGGTCCTATGTTACACTAAGTCCCCCGCTGGCGGCCATCTTGGATGATGGATCCACTACAAAGTAACAACACTTGGTCAGCACCTCATAAGGAATATTCATGCCATGTTTTGTTTCATTCCATTCAGTGGTTCACTAGAAGAAGTTCAAAATGTAAAAAGTTAACGCCGACGACGGACGCCAAGTGATGAGAAAAGCTCACTTGGCCCTTCGGGCCAGGTGAGCTAAAAATGGACTAAAATGAATTCTTCCTATTTCAGGCTATATATTTATAAATGTGAAGCAGATATTCAATTTTTCTTATTACATTTTCAAAATTAATACATTTTGCAATACCTACACAGAAGATTCACTCAAACAGTTTAAGTTTAAAAAATTAACCTGCTTTGGGCCGTTTACAATATACATGTATTTGGGGCTACTCCTTTGAAAATGAGGTAAATGACAATTGACATATGACGGACTAAAACTTTTGAAAATTTGTAACATAAGGTATCTGCATACAAGGTATGAAGCATCCAGGTCTTCTTCCCTAGATGTCTCGCATACTGTGACTTTTGTCACAGACAAGATAAAATACCTTGAGTCAAACACAGCTGACCTGAATTATCATTATGTTGTCTTATTTAAGAATTAACTGTTGACACAGATATATGCCTCCCCTGGATGTAATTTTGATAGTAAAATGCAAATGTTGATATTAAATGAGAAGTTCCAATGCTTATACAACTGGCTTACTGCATACCAAATATCAATGACTTATCATAAGTGGTTCCCCTTTAATAGAAGTTACAATGACCAAATCATTAACTTTTAACATGTCAACTATGCAAAAGTTTCAAAGTCAATAGATCATGACTGAGGAGGCCAAATAATCTCCTTGGAAATGAGAAGTGCCAATGCTTATACAACTCCATACCAAATATCAATGATTAATATATCATAAGAGGTTCTGGTACCACCAACTTCCTCATCAGTTAGTTTGTATTTGGTTAAACTGGTAGGAATTGATCTAATGGTTGTCCCTTTTCAAAATCAGGTTATGTTAAACGACCCAAAGCTTCAATCAAGATTGTGACTTTTACTATAAAAAAGTTCTGAAACCTTCTTTAACAATTCTCTCTTCTTCATTCCAAGGGGCTTAACTCTTTTAAAAATTGTTGATTGGCACTGATTTTCAAACTTGTCCGTAGCATTGCTGATATAAACCTTTGATATAAGTTTGATAAAAATCTGGTAAAAAGTGTTAACTTGAGAGTGCTTAAAATGCAATTTTCTAAATAGTCAATATTTACAAGGGGCATAACACTTTAAATAAATTTGATTGGCACTGATTTTCAAACTTGTCCAAGACATTGCTGATATCAACCATTAATATCAATTTTATAAAATCTTTCAAGAATTGTTCAAATGAGAACGCTTAAAATGTAATTTTCCTTGAACTGTGGATTCACTTTTATTTCGTGTGTACAGGTGAACCCCCGAAAATTAAATGCTTGAGGAATTAAGAATTTTTTAAATGCTTATACATGTATGCAGACCTTTGCAAAACCATGAATTAAAAAATCCATGAAAATGTAAGTTTTCCTCGATCCATAAAAATTGGTACCCAAAAAAATAAATGAATCCACATTTAATTAATATTTCCAAGGGACATAACTCTTTAAAAATAGTTGATAAGACACTGAGATATGGCTGATAAAAACCTTTCATATAAGTTTGATAACAATATGGTAAGAATTGTACATGTGATAGCGCTTCCTAATGACTTTTATTATAAAAAAAAATATTCTGAAACCTTTAACAATGGGCCATTTCAGAATCTAAAGCACCACGAGTCATTTTATTATTTGTACCCCAAAATGAAAATAATGTCACATCATTGGTTGAATTTCCATTGTTTAGAATGTTTTTAACCAATCACAACATTTTGGTGTAAAATCACCAGAATTCATTAGATTCTGAAACGTTGATTCTCCTAGAACATATGGAATAGAAGAACAGAGTGCTGATGTCTCCTGTGTTGCACATATAACTAAAAGAATTTGTTTCTCTTTAAAATCTTTTATAAATATCTTCATGAAATGTAGGCATGAAAGCTCTTACAATACATTTTCCATATAATTAATAATTCCAAGGGACATGACTCTTTTCAAAACAGTTGATCAGGACTGATTTTCAAAATTGTCCGAATATTGCTGATATAATGTATAAACCCTTGATATTTGATATAAGTTTGTTAAAAATCTTGGAGAAAGTGTAAACTTGAGAACTCTTAGAATATTTATAATATTTACAAGGGCATAACTCTTTTAGAGTAGTTGATCAGAACTGATTTTCTAACTTGTCAGAGACATATTGCTGATATAAACCTTTGATATATGTTTGATAAAAACTGGCAGGAATTGTTCATGTAAGAACCCAAACAATGCAATTTTCCATTAACTATGGATTCAATATTATTCTTTGGGTACCAATTTTTGTTAATTTCGTGCGTACAGGTGAACCACAATTTTTAAACAAATTACGAATATTGCTTATATGCAGAATTTTGCAAAACCATGAAATCAAATATCCTCAATCAACAATAATTGGTGCCCACGAAAATAAATGAATTTACAGTAATTAATATTTCCAAGGGCATAACTCTTTTAAAAATAGGTGATCTGCACTAATTTTCAAACTTGTCAGAGACATTGCTGATAAAAACCTTTCATATAAGTTTGATAAATACCTGGCAAAAATTGTACATGTGAGAGAGCTGACTAGACAGGAAAGAGAAACATATGCATGTTATGTTATACCTAAATTACATTTGTAACCCAAAAATGATCGGAAACAGTGTTCTCCATTTTTCACTAAAGTAAGGTGGGTGTTTTGAAAAATCACTTGCAACTGGGTGTAGTTTTTTTTTTTACATTTCCAACCCTTTTTTTTTACTGTGGGCATGGTGGGTGTTTTTACAAAAAGAATGGTTTGTATTGTATTCACATTAATTTAATTGAATTGAATAGCAGATGGCTTTTGCAGGACTCCCTCCTCCTGCTAAGTCTGCGAATGCATGGATTATCGATCCAAGTTTCTGTCCTGTTCCTTGCTTTAGTACTGCATTTTTGGCACACAGAACAGTAATATCCTACTTCTGTGACGATTAGCCATTTAAAGTCCTGTTCATATTTCTCAGCTTGGGAACAACCCCTAAAATGAGAGGTAACCCCTCAATGTAATGACTATCCCTTTTATCAAGGGTACTTGTCAAGAGATACACATGAGCACATATGAAGTTCGTTTGCAGAACCTTTTCCCAAAGAAATATACATCTATTTGGTATTATATGGTCAAAACATGTCCAAGAATTTTGTAATAATCCTGGACTTATATCTTCTTTATCATTAAAAATAATGGGTCCCTCTTTTAGAAAAGTTGTTCCAAATATTATTTAACTGTACAATATCTCATGTTTGTTGCTTATACTATCATAATAGTTAATTATAAATGCCCCCTGTAAGTATTTGAAGGGTACAAATGTGAGTGCTACACTATCTAGAAGCATTCATGTTATTGCAAATCACTTTGTAAAACAAGATTTTGTGTAAAAGCTTAAAAACTTAATTCATGCCAGTAAACAATTATTGGGCTTGAATCTCGGTTTCTACATATAATTTTATAGTTGAATGGTTGAATGTCAATCAGTATCTGACACTGGCAGTGGATGCAGCCATGGATGTGGACACCTCTAAACTTTTTACTTCAAAACCCCAAACTAGAATTGCTAGCCAACTGCTTAATTTGCAGCTAGAATTTAATAACAATATCTCAAGCCTACCATACATTTTCCCTTCATCAGACAAAATAATTTTTCTACGTCCGCATGGTGGATATATAGCTAATGCCTCTTGAAAGCTCTGTTCAATGTCTGGACTCCAAACACCTTCAGCATCATTTGAAAGGTCATCTACATCGCCATCCCCACTACCAGGACTACTTTCAGCTTTAGTCATAGTTTCAGGGGGGCCAGGTGGTAAATTTTGATCCACATTTGGCCAACTGGAAGACATAATTTGTTTTGTACCTACAATAAGAACATACATTTTTGTACATAAAAACACAGAATGTAAAAAAAAATTACAAAAGTAGGACAAACAAAAACAAATGTAGGATAAGGAATAATTTGGACCTGGATTTTTATTCAAGACTTTGAAAAATTTTGGAGTCTTATACATCCTTGTCTTTCAATTTTTTTGCTTTAAGCATGTTACATATAAGTGTTCCTTAAGAAAATTTTGGTGCCAACTTATGTATACACCACGTCTCCTTTCATTCATTTCTTTACAGAATTTTTGCAAATTGTACACTTGAAATACATGTAGCATCATATGGGTGTATAAAGACATTTTCATAATATCAATATGGGTCATTTTCCCCGTCTGTACTCTACATGTTCTTTTTTACATTGTAAATCCCCTTTGCTTGAGGGCTCACTGGCATTATTCTATATATGCCACATATAGCTCATCGTATGGCCTTCAGTAATGATTAAACCCAATCTTTATGTTTTAGGAATGGGAGGGGAACAAAGGTTTGGTTGTTTGGATATTAATATGTACTACATCAAATTGACTCATACAATGCTATAAAAGATCCTTCCATTCTAGAAAGTCCTGGTAGCCAAATAAGACTCTTCAGATAAAAACTATTTGTACTATACTATGGACTCATCAGAATCAGCTGGGACTAACAGTTTTAAAAAATGATGAGTACCAGGAGTCTGACAAGGACTCACCCTAAATATTTTGTAGTGAGAACCCTGGTTATTTTAATTACAGCTAGAGTGGGTGGCGCATATTCGCCTTGGACACATTTTCGCCGTTTTGCTATTTCTTCTGTAAAATGTTTGTGCCTTTACCCAATACTTGCCTAAAAAGATGGTAAAGGCTGTTTGTAATGTTTGAACTGTTGATATTCCTCTTTACCCCATTTCCAAGGTTATTCGCACATACATGTATAAAGAAATATGCAGGTGTTTTTAAACGATTTTGGCAATTATGTAAGATTTATATGGCAATCATGCACAGTCTTAACGTAAATATTTGTGAGAAAAATCGTATAGGAATGATCTCTCAAGCTAATTCATGTTATTGCAAACATTCGTTTTTATAATATACCAGGATAATGAGGATGGTCATATCATACATTGCTGTGAAAATGTGTCCCCCATGGTACACGAACAACTTTATTGCCTATTGAGTTGCGTTTGTTTTTAGAACATTTAACCAATGTTTTGAAGATGATTCCTTTATCAAACATTTTTTTCATATAGTTAGATATCTGAAACCTACATAAAAAGTTCCAAATATTCGAATGTAGGTCGGATGTAAGTGGGAATGTACAAATTATGCGGCGAATATGGGTCACTCACTCTACTGGCTTACTGCTAGTCCCAGAGGATTTCTTCAGCTCAGCAGCCAGCTTCAGCACTGACATGATTTATAACATATTTTCTTAAATTACTTGCAACTATAAATTTAAAAGTTATAATGAATCTACCTGTAAGGTTTCAGTTCCCTCAGGCAAAGTTGACCTAAGGTGACTATGGCTATTCTTTTAGGGTCTCTTTTAGGTCATAAAACCCATGTGTTCAAATATCCTTGGCTTTCAGATTTATTTTCAATTGATAATAAATTGAAATGATTTTTAAGCGAATAGGCAATGGGTCACGCATTTGTATTTCTAGACCCTGAGGAATGCTAAATAAATTCATTTGATGATAATTTTTTTTTAATCTACAATTCCACCTAACAGAAGTTCCCCTGGAAACTTTGATATAAACAATGCCATAATATCTGTTCCTGTTGGAACAAATATTCTATAGCTTTTATTCCGTTACTGTTATCTATGTTCCAGTGGAAATAATATTCCAGAATATTTCTCCTGTTACTGTTAGGAACTTAAAATATATTTCATGACAGGCTATTTTGTTATTGTTTGTCATTTTGCTGTATAAACCATATCCGAATGAAATATTCTCACTACAGTAAATATACAAAAAAATGCAAGTTCAACTGAAGCTTATGAAATCTGTAGAATATAATTTACATATTTAAATAAACTTTTGTAACGATCCAAAATCTTGTAGACACTGGATGTCCTGAAAAGTCTGGTACTCGTATCATATATTTCGGCCATTATGGATTACGTTCACTTCACCTTTGAATCATTGAAATAAAAAAAAGTACTGAATGCACTTTTTTATGAGGTCAAATATCCTGCATTGGAGAAAAGATAAACTTTTTTCTGCTTCAAAAGTTCGGGATACAAAAGTTGTCGCCCGGAAGTTATGCCATGAAGAATGACAAATATTTCAGAGATTCGAAGCCCGCACAGACACTTCGGCCATGCTGCTCTGGTTTGAAGTTTCTAACATATTTCAAGCAAGTTTTCACATTTACTCAGTACATTCGTATGTAATTGTAACATAAATGCATAAAAGTTTCAAGTGTTAACTTAAAATTCAAATAAAACAAATATTTAACTCACTTGTTGGTATGCGTGGAATGGCACAAAGAATCTGGACAACGTACTGACTTACTGCGCATGAACACAGCGCATGGGGCGGACCAGTCTTTCATGTTGGGAGAATGTGACACTGCTTCAAAACAAACAGACTAAATGAAGATGAAGTATAATATATTCATTCTAGGTTATTGAAGTCACAATTAGATACCATTCCAAGTGGCACTGGCGTACCCTTTCTTCAGAAACCTTTCCACTAATCAAATTTAAATTTGCAGAAAGGTTTTTTAAGGGTTCCCGTTTCCACATGTTACCTCTTAGAACCCCTTTAATTTGTTTGTGTTCGCGCCTGCATTACGTTTTCATTAAACCATGCCGCGTGATATTTATACAAAATTCACCATCTTTTACCTTGTTAAGCTTTTCGCAATATTGTCTTTGTCTGGAACTAATACATGAATTATCTTTCGTCTCAGTCTTCAGATGCGGATCCAGGATTTTGAAAAAGGGGGAAGGGGCCCTTAAAATTAGGCAATGTTTGGAGTTGGACATGTAAATGTAAATGCTCTTTTGTTCCGACGTTGGAAAGTTCCGGGCGGAAAGAACTAACTAGCCGAAAAGTTCCGGAGGAACTTATTTATATTAACTAGTTACTTTGTTCTTCCTCTGGTTTAAAAGCTACGGTTCCACCGGAACAAAGTGACTAGTTGAAAAGTTCCAACGGAACATATCAACTAGTTAAAAAGTTCCTTTTTGCCAAATTAGTCAAAACCGGAACTTACAAACTAGCCCAAAAGTTCCAACGGAACTTATCAACCAGGCAGAAAGTTCCATTTGGAGAATTGATGCAAAGTAAAAGCGCAACATGTTATATTTGAACCTTTCAAAGGGAAACTAATAATTAAGATACTGATTACAAAAGTCAGAAGGAACTTATCAACTAGCCACAAAGTTCCTCTTTGGCAAATAAGTCAAAACCGGAACTAACAAACTAGCCCAAAAGTTCCAAAGTTCCATTTGGAGAATTGATGCAAAGAACAACATGAGGAGGGGGTATTCTTCCCTCTTTTGAGGGTACTATGAATACTAAATTTGCATGATAATGCAACTTATTCCGTTTTATGTGAGCTATGAAATACAACAACAAATGGAAGTTTTTAACGACCTTGACTGGCTATACAGCCCTTGCACGGTCGGCCCTGGCTTGCGCCTTTTTGGGCATTAAATAATTTAATTTTTACCATATGGTAATTGATATAATTTAGAATGACAAAAAAAAATTATTAAAAAATAATATAGAGTAAAAATTTGAATAACTAAATGAATAAATAAATTGATGAATAAGTTAATAAATAAAGAAAAGAAAAGAATATAAAAATAAATAGAATAAACTAATATAAAAATGAAATTTTTATATGAAACATAAAATAAAATAAAAATAAATAAAAAATATATACGTAAAAATAAATAATTAATAAACACGGAGCCACCAGAAGTAGGAACAGGAGGAAAGCTAGGCCAAGCAAACAGCAGTGAACGACAGCAACGTTGTCCTGGAACACCAGCAGCCAAGTAAAGAGCGGAAAATTTTGATATGCCAAATTGTGTGTGTGAATTTATTTGCCAAATATTTTTTATAAACCGAAAGATGCCTAAATTTGTGTATGCGAGTTTTGCAAAAATAGTTAGTAAGGTGTTTTGTATGTACTATAAAAAAAAAGGAGAATTAAGTACAATAAAAATAAAATAAATAAAGAACCAAAGGGTGTATGTATAATTTTGACTGCTTTGTGCTAGTGCTACTTATATTGAGACTTTATAGTGCTAGTACACTGGAACGCTGCCCGCAGGAAGACAGCGCCCCACGCTAATTAAAACTGGGTTAGCGCAAACCAGATCTTGCGAAGTACCATTTTTTAAGTCTTAGATTTGACTTGCGGCTTAATGAAATGGAAAATTTATATAAGGACCAAAAGTAGACACAAAAATAATTTGGATGCCGCGAATTTGTAAAAAAAAAGCCAAAGGTTATCGTGAGTTACTGTTTAGTTAGCATAATTTCAATAGTTTAATTTACTTAGCACTACATATATTTTGACTAATTTTAAATATGTTTAATTATTTCAAACATTTTTTTAGGTTAAAAATTTATTTCGATTTTAATTCGTCTTGAAGAGCTTGCTGTACTGCCGGTTACGGCCTGACTCCATTTCTGAGTCACTGACCCGGATAACTCTTACAGTGCAGTTGGTCTTGTTACCGATGTGTTGTTAAGCCGTCTTGAAGAGCCTGCTGTACTGCCGGTTACGGCCTGACTTCATTTCTGAGTCACTGACCAGGATAACTCTTGCAGTGCAGTTGGTCTTCTTACCGATGTGTTGTTAAGCCGTCTTGAAGAGCCTGCTGTACTGCCGGTTACGGCCTGACTCCATTTCTGAGTCACTGACCCGGATAACTCTTGCAGCGTATTTTATTTATTTTATTTCTATTACTTGTATTTTTTTTAATACTTATATAAATTTATGGTAATCAATTTCTGTTAAATATTGAACCAAGCACGACCAGACATATTGTTGTTTATCTTTAGGAGGATCTAGCAATATTTTGGTATTTACATTTTGTATTTGAACCTTATCCAAGTTTGATTGTAAATTTTGTCTGGCTTGTGAGTGATTAATACAGTTAACTAGTACGTGTTCTATATCCTCTTTAATGCCTCATGTATTGCATATTGGAGATACATTGCGGATGTGCTATATGAAATACAACTTAAATTTTGCATATTTGTCCCCAAAGAAACCCCTTTCAGTGCGTTGGGTATTCTTGTAAATTAATGATTTGCTCTTATATATACTGATACTCATTCTTCCCCCTCTTTCTACAAAAAGGACGAAATATGGTATATTCGGAACGATGTAACTAGTTGTTCTGTTCCGCCAGAACTATTCAACTAGCTACATTGTTCCGGGACTTTTTAACTAGCTACTTTTTTCCAGAACTTTTCGACTGCACTCGGAATAAAACAACTAGTTGGACAGTTCCATCGGAACGAAATAACTAGTTGAAAAGTTCCGCCGGAACAAAGTAACTGACGGAACATAGTGGCTGTTACATAAAAAGCAATGCATTAACCATACATGTAGCTCAATAAGGGAACACCAGAGTTACATTAACAATAAGACGAAACAATATAGAAATAGTAGGCTGTGGTATGATTGCCATCGAGACGGTAACTCTTCACCGAAGACCAAATGACGTGGAACCCGGCAACTACAGGTCACCGTGACCATACGGCCTTCAACAATGAGCAAACCCATACAGCACAGAGGTAGATTTGGATTGAACAAGGGGCCTGGCTCCTCTTATGGAGCTACATATATGATAAATGCATATACTTTTTTTTAAGCCGATGATCAGTACAAACGTTGGCTAACTCGGGGGCCCCCTTTTTCAAAATCCTGAATCCGCACCTGCTGCATAGCGACATCCGACACTTGTGTAGGAACATTACACTTGTGTAGGAAGGGAACTTAGATAAAAATTCATAGAGCTGCACACAAAGTGTATATATTGGAGGGAAAAGGAGGTACATCGTAAAAGTACTGATATAAAATTGTATAAATTAAGGTATCGAAAGAGGTAAGATTTAGGTTTTGGCAGATATTATGTGTAAACTCGTCATAGTTAGCAGGATACCAATTTTGTAAGCCAGACGCGCGTTTCGTCTATAAAAAAAACCTAGTCAGTGACACTCTTATCAAAAAAGTAAAAAATGCCAAATAAATTACGAAGTTGAAGAGCCTTGAGGACTCAATTAAATTTCGAAAGGTTTTGCCCAAATACAGTTCAGGCAGAGACATATATACATGTATATATGTCTCTGGTTCAGGTAATCTATTCCTGGGGTAGAAAATCCTTATAGTATTTCAAAAAATTCAAAGTTTTGTAAACTGAGTTAATTTTTAATCATGACCTTTATGATTTTAAAAATCCTGCCTTCAGTGGCGTGGGAGAAGACTAAAAAGTGGTGGGGAGCAAACTACTGAGTCACAAGCAAAGAAAAAAAACCCTTTTCTATCTTCTAGTTTGTTAGTGTCCTCGTTCATTTTTGTTTACTTACAATAACTTTTGCAAAAAAGTGTTTGGGGCAAACATATAGTTTTGGTCCTTTGTCTCCCCTCTTGACTCACACAAACATATAGTTTTTGTCCTTGGCTCACACGTACCTGAACAAGATTGTGACAACAGCACCTCTGTTAACATTATTTTTTTGAAGTAGTAATTGTAGAAATGAGAGACATTGATGTCAATTTGAAACTTTCTAATTATCCTAACCGACTCTCCGTGTGCTGTATATGTACTTAATTAGGCTAGCGCCGTAGGTTTATATTCAAGTACTGTAAAAAGGACATGGAAAGTATATAACGTTAATTTTTGCTCAATGGTACCTGCGCAGCTACGTGATTGCGGTAGTGTTTATCTCACTATCCAAATATTTAGATATCAACACTAAAAATCACCAAAACCAATGAAATCTAGTAATGGTTGGGAATTAGAGATAGATGAACAACATATAAATGTATTAACCGTAAACATTTGTCTTTTTGTTTCAGGGATAAAAGTTCGATTGATAAGTGTAGACATATGTCAAGAAATGAACTTGGACAGTTCTATTAAATCCATTTTCTATTCTAGAATTATAAAGTTACACATTTTTTATCAAAGCCCTTTTTGCATCTTTGAAATGGTCTCATCAGAGACATACAATACATTGTATCATATGTTTCTCGTGTCGTGTAGTTTCAAGAAGAAGAAAAAATATATAGACCTTATAAGAAAAAAAACATTGTGTACAAACAGAGGCATACAATATTATATGTCTCTGGTACAAACTTGTTTTGTTCTTTTATAAACAAAATTGCTTATATTTATACGAAATAACGTTTCGAACAATAGAAATTGCATATGTCTATTGTTTATTTCTTTAAGCGGAATTCAAGCATCATTCCATTTAAGTTAGCGATGTCCTTCGAAGTAAAATGTGACAGAAACATGTAAAATTTGCAATGCCTCCAACAGCAACTTGTACTGGTGAATAATTTTTC